ATTGTATGATTAATATAATCGTAAGTATATATTATCTAAGGATCGCTAAATTAGTTATCTGATTTAATTGCAGTCTTGTATTTAACAAATAATGTTGTTTGTATATAATAAAATCTAGATTTATTCTGAATTTTTGTTTGTCTCGTGTCTCGCATACGGGACACAATTTAGTAATTCAATTTAAGTAGCTTAACTGTACTTTATCATGATTTATATGACGTCATCTTAGAGTTACTTATAGGTAATTTTACTACATGCAAGATATGTCATATGCTTAGTTCAATTAAAAATTTTACACAACTGATTTTATATGCGAATATAAGAAGGTTTTTTAGCATTAATCCTTTCCTTCTAAACAAATATATGTTACCTAAAAATAACTGTAGCCAAATTGTTAAACGTGCTGCATAGCATTGCGTTATGGTCCTGGGTTCGAATCGTGATGTACATTAGATCGTTTTGTTCTGGCACGGCTGATAAGTCTGAAAATGTGTTCGCCCCATGCCGCAACGGGATTTCACTCACTACCTACCATAAAATCTTGTATTTTTATCAAAATTTTCACACTTCAAGGTTGTTAAAGTGGGGCTTTAACAAGCTTAAAGTTCAATGGCCTAACATGACATGTACTATTAAGATGCCAAACTACGCCCCGTCTAGACAAACATCATTAATTCACCGCTAGATGGCGTTGACGGTGACGCAGCATCGTTTATCACAGATGATAATTACAAATACAGGAAACAAATGGAAATTAATCGATATTGACAAAAAATATAACGAAGCTGTAAAGGTTTTTTGGCAAAAAGGTGTTTATACTTTAGTAATAAATAAATTAAGTGATTAATTGGGATTTTGGCCGGCAATTTTTGGATTTATTGAGTTTTTTTGTAATGAAGAAGTTATAGCTTGCATTTAAATCTATTCTTATACCAGTTTTTAAGTAGTAGATGGTAGGTATGTTTTGTATTTTTTTTCTCTTAGATCAAAATAAATAAATTGATCTTATAAAATAGTTTATCCATAGCAACGGCTGCTGCAAAGCATCATCAACATCGGTTTGTAGTAAAAAATAAATTTACTAATATATTTCGCGTTTTAAACCACTAAAACATTTTTATACGAATAAGTATAAGGTTGCAACTATAGCAACTAGATGTGCATGTATATATGAATATAAATAAATGTATGTGCGTTTCTATGATAGGGATGGACAGACAAACATCGTGTACACTTGAGGAAAGATAAAATGACCCAGTCATATAACACCTAGATAAAATGCGATTTCCACCCTATGTTTTCTTTAGAAATTCAGAACAGAACGTAAATATATTATTTGATAAATTAATAATAAATATTATAACATGTAAAGTATAGTAATCTTAACAAGCAAATTACATGCCATTCTCTATAATCCTTAAGCTATGTGATTTACACACAAAGTAGAATTAACCTTTGCTCTGTCTAATAAGAATTCAATTGTTCAAATTTTCGACAAAATTTGTTTTGTACGATTACATTAACATATAGAATTAAGTTGCATAATATTGTTTGAAATTTAAATTATTGTGTAGTTCAAGTTTCCGATTATTTAAAAAAAATGTTAAGTGTAAAAGGTATGTTTGGATTTTTTTAGTGATGAAGGAGGGTAGAATTAGCATTGGCTTCAATACCCTCGATGAAATACCCAGCTATCACATTAAGATATTCCGACGAGCTATTTTGCTTTTGGACAGTCTAAACTTATTTATCTGTGGACGTTGATTCGTGACCGGGACGGAATTCTCAATATTTCTACCAGGTGCTTAACATGTTTCAGAAAAATTAAATTAATTAGAAATTCACAGAAAAAGCCGTGACGTAATAGCTCGATAGCATCTTAGTGAGATGTTATATGGCTGGGATATTTCATATCCCGTCAATTGAACCTCATGCCCGTCTGTCCTCTATATTAAAAAAAATGACTCATTTATTTGGCTAAATCTACATCATCCTTTGGGTACCTTGAGGTACCTTTGTCCCTCACGCTTCTTTATACTAAATACAATGCAGTTAAACCCGACTAAAGACAATGAACAATTTGAGACTGTGGTTAAATTATCATACAAACCTAATTGATAACATTCGGGTCCTTTTTTGTCTGATTCTTAATTAATATGATTATGTAATGTGACATTGAAAAATAATGTAAATCCAGTATTGTCTGTTATCGTGTTTTGTACGATGTCCTGAGGTAGAATTTTTGGACTATTTTAAAAACTTTAATATTTTTCACATGTTATTGCACATGATGTCACTAAAATATTAAATTGAATTGAAAAAAATTGCTCCAGAATTCCTTGTTTGTATGTATAGGTTCAAAAAAATCGACCTTGGCGCGTAGCTCGATTGTTAAGAGGAACGCGGTGGGTGCCGGTTCAAGTCCTGCCCGTTTCATAGAATTTTTACTATAGTTTTATTCAATTTATAGTCGATTGTTAATATATTTGTATTCTGTTGGAGAAAAGCAAGGATCAGGATAGAGTGGGGAAAAAGGGGGAGGCCTTTTGCGACGCAAACATACTTAATGTTCTGATACGCATTAGGTGTATACGACTATTTTAAAAGTAGGTGCCAAAATTTAATGTCTAAAATATAAAAAAAAACATCCATGTAATTATATATATTATTTATTGTAATAAAATCTTAATATTATTTGTGTCCTTTAGAAGAGGGGGAATACAGCGGTCTAATTAATCATGTGTCTGTTGATAAAGGTAACGAGTTAAACAGACAAAGAAATCAAGTTTCGATAACAATCTCTCAATTATGACGGTTTAATAGCTCGGGTAAAGCTTGAGTTTTTGAGCCAATTTATATTTGATATAGCTACAGAAATATCTGCCCCATGCCCCATATAAATGAGTTTTCACATTATTCATAATATTTTCTATTAATATTACGTAAATTGTTTAATTCTTCGTATGTAGTTTCCATATTCACCATTTTTGTATTACCATTCGAAGATAACGAATATTTTAAATTTAATTGCTAATGGAGAGTCTATTGGTAGACGAACAGCATGTCACACTAAAGTCATGGTTCAATTTCCCCCTGTGTCAGTTGTGTCATCTAAATTTATTTACGCTTGTAATGTTTATAAAGCCGCCGGGCTACTTGGTGTAATGGTCGTGGCTTCTACCCCTACCAGGTCAAACATTTATAATATAATGAATTTATAGTTTTCTGAAACATGTTGAACTTTGTCTGGAAATCTGGATATTAAATGGATGGTAGGAATATCGAAATTCCATCCAAGTCATGGAATACCACAGAAGAAAAAGCGTGAAGTTTAATCGCGTTTCGGTTTCAGTCTGTAGAGTTCCGAATATCCAAAGTCAAAATAGGTCGATGACGCATCTTGTTTCGATGTTATATCTGTGGTATTGTCCTCCTCTATCATGAACGCAATAACATGTGAAACAATAATACGTTTTAAATAAATGCGATATTCCAATGCTAAGGTTGTTGGTTAAATTATGAGTGACTAAACATTTTATTGCCCCTTTATACCCAACTGAAATAAAGTAGCAACTTCGTTCTTTGTTTTAACTTATTTAATTGTTGTATTAATTTGGTAATTAGCATATGAACAACCCGCTGCGACTGTTTCTTTGTTTATTGTTTAATGTGATTAATATTTCAAAATGTATACCTGCATTAGATAATAAAATTGTACCCAAATTGTATGAGAGTGCATTGACTTGTTAATTAAATTACGAAGTGTCAAATATAGCCGACAATTTTGACCATAGATGCAGAATTAAACAAAATTTTTAAGAAGTAAATTACTAATAAAATAATAAAATTATGCCTAACTTTACAAGAATATTACATATATATATAACATAAATTTCATAATAACATAATTATGTTTAATAATGATTGTATAAAAGATTATACTATATCAATCGTTTTACATTGTAACTGTACGCTAAGTTCCTAACTCATAAAATTTTGTTATAATTTCGTCCGTCTAATTCGTAAGTCTATTAATATTAGTTACTAGATTATATTTCATCTAACGAAGAAAATATACATTTTGTTCTTGTCTGTTTAGTCTTTTAATGTCAAATTGATGTAGTCCTAAGGACGGGAGTTTCACTTTGGTATTCTTGGCAAGACCTTTAGTTTTGATCTCGGCATTATATTTTATTTTATGTATTCAAGAACATAGCACGATGGGCCGACAACATATAGGCGATCACTGTCTACACCCGAATGGGCTCCATGTGACTGTTTATTTTAAAATAACATCTGACGGTCGCCTTAGTCTAATGGTAGCATTGTTTGATTACTAATCAAAGTTCACCCTTTTGCTAGATTCCATTTCCATCGGGTCCAGCATGTTTATAATCAATTTATATTTTATCTGAAACATGTTGGACCATCGTTAAATTCGCTAATGGGTCACGAATCACTATCTACAGATGAAAAACCCGTGAAGTTTAATCGCGTTTCAGTCTGTAGATTTCCGAAAAACCAAATCCAAGATAGATCACCTACCATCAAGTGGACTTCCTGCCTATCTCTTCTCCTCTATCATAAAAGAAACCAGATCTTTGCTAAGTATTTAGCTTTGTTCCTACTATTATTTCTTTAATTATATCTATAAATCTTAATATTTCTTCTTCGCTTCTTTATCTATAGTAAATTCAATTATTGTTTCTAATAAGAAGTTAATGTATAATGATTTCGCTAGACTATTTGCGGCAAAATTGTTAGATTGTTAAGTGTTTGGAATGGATAAATTAGTTGAGAAGAATTGATAATTTTAACTCTTCTAAATATTATACTTGTTACTTATTACATTTAATGAATTGAAATGATTTGGAGGAGATATTTTTCAAATAGGTATTACCTCGTTTAATTTGTAAGTTTTTCGTTAAATTGTGTGTGTATGTTTGAGTAGTATATCATTAAACGACACAGATATTATTTTTTTACACGTCTCATTAATATTACTCACTGTTGGGCGACCCCGCGCGGAACATCGGATTAGGCGCCATCCACGGGAATGCACCGAACGGCCAAGCGTGTGTCGGGCCCTGGTACAGCCTCGGCAACAGCGGCTGCGGCACCACGACTCCGCTCCTCTCCGTCTCCTCCCCATTGCTTTCTCTCTCGTCTCTTTCATCGCCAGCATTCGACTCCACATCCTCTATGTCTACATCACTATCGTCCGTATCTATGACACTGTCGTTGCTGGGTTCTGGCGTGACCCTGGGCGCATCGGTCTTCCCCCCCAGCAGCGAATCTACGCTAAAGGAGATGCGCCCCTTGCCGGTCTCAGCGGCATCGGCTTCCAGGGTCGTCTTCATCATATGTCTGACATCTCCCGATCACCCGCGCCTCCTCGGGGTCAGTCCGTTGCGACACATAGCAGGACCCGGATTCTGTTTACACTGATCAGCTTTTTAATCACTGATTCGACACTCGTCTCACTGATATCTCGATTCGTTCGCCGCTCGTCCACGGCGCCCAGTGATCACTGGTGTCGATTCGCGATATCGCCGCGGAATTCGCGTGCCAGTCGCACGGTTATCGCCGCTGTATTGGGGAGGCCCGCCTATCCCGTAGCGAGAGAGACGCCGCTACACAGCGAGGAATTTTAATAAGCGGCGCGGTTAGAGCGAGACGGCGATACAACCCGACATGTGTGTAAACGCGATATCGGGTAGGCGGAGACGGTCGCGCTCAAATTAATCGCCGTTGTGAAATACGCCTTATACTATTAACACTTAGCAATACAATATGAACTTTATTACATTGTATTAGAGTAGAAATTCAAATGTGATGTAATAAACTAGTGACGTGATGGAAGTGAGCGCGTCGGGTTGCAGCCGCTATTGTTTGAATGAAAAAGGAGTAAATAGCTACTACCGACTGGAGGGGACTTTACGATTTAATTATTCGCGAATACGGAGGCATTTTGTAGCGAGCTAATGTCTCATTGTCTCATTAATATCTCGAGACGGCCATGTTTGATTTGTTTATGACACGGGCGAGGTGCAAACGTTGGCAACGTCTATATTGTCTGTGGGAACAGCGGAGCTCCGAACAAGTTAGCATTTAGCTGTTCGGCTTGTTAGAGTGTTTCACTTCGGCGGTCGCTGTTTTTGTTCATGTGTTGAATATTGATTGTCTTTGTGATTGATAAGTATAATGCCTATTGTTTCGAGGAATTAAGCATGTTTACACCGGCTAATGGCTTTACACCTACGACCCTCAGGCGAACTGCTTTTTTCAAACTTAGTGAGCTAACTTACATTTCTTAGAAATTTTAAATGTTAGCAAAACTAAGTACTAAGAGCGGTAAATGTAAAAAAAAGTAAATGAAACTGACAACACTATTTACATGCAATATTTAAAATTTGAGATTGCAGATTGCAGATTTCAATAAAACACCTTTAACGGTTTAGAACGTGAAATGTAGGTATGCCATTATTACGATTTAGTATTTTAACTGCGGCCCGTCGTTTCGTTATAGGTCGGTATATGGTTATTAAGTTCATTAGTACATTTTTAATCGTCGAAGTGTTTCTTTTAATGTGTACCTATTACGCGCGTAAACTTTAGACAGTAGATTTGAGATTCATAAAAATCAAAGATAAAAAATATGTATTTAATAGGTAACTCTTATCCAGGTAAACACTTCTACTAAAATTTCACACAAAATGTTCATTTATAATTATTCAAGTAAGTATTATTACTTAATCCGTGTTCCTCATGACTTATGTTTATTTAAGATGTTTGAAAGTATCAATTATCCAAGTTATTTTTACAGCCTTTTTATATCTACTACAGATATAATTCTTCAAAAACAATATACAAACCAACAATAATTCACTGTGTCTGAAGCACGAATTAATTCCAAGTCTTTAAGATAACAACAGATTGTACAAAATCAACAAGATCAAACAATGTCATTAAATTGATATAAATATGTCAAAGCCCGGGATCAAAATGCGCAATAACGCTTACGTTTAATCGTATTATCATTATATAATTGCATTTTGAACCTTATCCCAACGCAATAGAGTCGTAATATATTTATACGTCGTATTGTCGAAAAAATTAAAGGATTTTAGGTGTTGTTCCCTTGTGTTAAGGGTCATGGAGTAGAAAGGTTGTCCCCTAACCAATTAACGTTTAATTGTAGATAGAGATTATCGTTAGTTTAATGAAAAGAGTGTAATGTACCGTTTATTTATATGAAAATAATTAGATTATGAAGCATACTGAGATTTAATTAGTAGTTTATCAAATTGATCTAATAATGTTATTTTCGTAGTTATAAGTAATGGATAGTATAGACTGCATATTGCATAACTATGTAGTCACGAATGGTAGAAAATGTATGGTATAACAGTGAAAGTGATAAAAATATTAAGTCTCTTAGTTAGTGTTTGACAAAAATGATTGCTATCAACACTTCGTGTTTCTGAATAATTGATAATTTTTCTGAGACATGCTGGACGAACCACCTTCTGCAGATAAAACACGGTAATGTTCGGGCTTGCGTTTCAGTCAGTGGACTTCCGAAAAACAAAGCCAAAATACCTAGTCCCACAGCGAATCTTGTTTATTTGTAAAATGGCAGGTGTATTAACAAGTGCTTAATTTTAAGTCAAACATACCTCCGTACACATTGAACGTATTTCAACACGAATTATTTTATTCCTACTAACAACTCATCTTCTTCGCCTATAAACCGTTAAAAGTATCTTTAAAAGCGTAAACTACAAATAATAGGTACAGTATGTAATCCTATAGACATTTAAAAGGAGATATAAGATTTAATTACTCATAGTTTGATCTTTTGTGAAAGTAAGGAAAGTCGTATTATACCTATAATATTGTGTCATTAGTGTTTCATGCAAGGAGGTAGGTATATGTAAAATAGGATATATCTTGTATTTCATGTGTGTATTTCTCTATGAAAGTTGTTTATTGGCAAAAAGCCTTTCAGATTGTCCAATAGTCATATTTGCTATATTTTCTTTCAGTATTGTCTGTAGTTTACGCGAACAGCACCTTTAATAAAACACTATTAACAGTTTTAAACGCGAAATATACTAGTTACATTTAAATAAAACACTTAACGGTTTAAAAGCGATATATTAGTTAAACTTCTTTGAGAATGATTTTTAACTTCGGAACGACGTTTCGGATGCTTTGCAGCAGCATTAGAGTTAGAAGTTTAACTAATATATCGCATTTTAAACCGTTAAAGTGTTTTATTTAAATGTGTATTACTCGCGTAAACTGTAGACAGTATTTTATATTAGCTACACCTTAAATAAAACACTTTGAACGGTTTAAAACTCGAAATATATTAGTTATATTGTAAACACTTAATTTTAAAAATTTCGCGTTTTAAACCGCTAAGTGTTATTTTTCATAAGGTACTCGCCCTTCGCAGTAAATTTTCGAAGTTACCTATCGCATTGCCGAATGAAAAAAACTACCTCCTAAATCAGTCGGTACGATAATGAAACCCGTCGTCCATAATAAAACTTGAGAAATTTCAAGAGGCCCTCCGCGGAGGCGTTTAAGTGAAAATTTATACTGAAATAATACGAAAGCGGCAATCTTTTTGTAATAACGACTTTCATATTCCCGAGTGTTGCGAACAATTTAGCGGAGATGAGATATTTTTTTTTATTAAAAACCCGGGGCGAGGGGGCCGACCATTACTCCGCGAAATGAGTTTTTAGTTAGCGACCTTTTTTCTTCAAACACAGGATGCTCCGGTTGGAACTTAATTGTTTGCCTCGTTGGTCTGTTTTATTACATGATGTGTCAGCGTGCGTTTTAAAAGTGTTAGTTTTAAAAGTTTTACATACAAACAAGCATACGTTAGTGATTTTTATTTACTAACTAGCTCTATCAGCGACTCCGAATTCCCGCTGTTTTTTCGCTTCTATTAGTCAAAGCGCAATCTTTATTTATCGCCTTCCTCGATAAATGCTCTAATCAACACAGAAATATTTTTTAATTCGAACCAGTAGTGCCTGAGATTAGCGCGTTCAAACAAACAAACTCTTCAGCTACATATTAGTATAGATAGGTACACAAACGTTTAAATTATAAATTTAGAAACATAACTATAAAAATTAAAGATTTATTGATTATGTGCATAAATAAATAAGGGTGTCAAAAACACAAATATAATTACGAATGGTGATTGGTGATTGATGAAAGGTGAAGCACCCCAATCATATAATGGCTAAACTGGGTACGCCGTCTTTGTCATTTTGACTTTGGATATTCGGAAATCCACAGACTGAAACCGAAATGCGATTACACTTCATGCTTTTGATCTGTGCAAGACGGTTAGAGACCCAGACGAAATTTTGTTATTTTTACCACCCATATAATACCCAAACTTCCAGACGAAGTCCAACCTATTTCAGACAAATTATAAATTCATTCGACTCTATTTATACTAATGTCTTGCAATTACAATACAGCATATGTAATTGGTACGATCGGTGCGACTGGAAAAACTGCAATTTCCCAACACCCTGTGGAGGCTCGTTTGAAAAGCGGCAGGAGTAATAAAACGTGCGTCGCCCGACGTTGTCATCGTAAAAACATTTCCCTCTTTAATATTCCACAATTGCCACTTTTCCTTATATTTTTATGCTTAATGACACCCAGATAACCGTATTCCGAACCGGGGAATATTCCGTCGAGATTTAATTCCGCTTTAATGCTCTCTATAGCTATTTAATACCACTTATTTGACTCGTTAAATAATGGCTGTCTGCATCTACATATCTACGTAGTAACAGATTTTTACCCAACTGTGACTTAAAGGAAAAAAAATAGGGCGACATTGAATCTATATCTTGACGTTATGAGGCTGGCACATTACGCTTTCCACCAAGTGCTAAGCTCGCCTGTACCTACTCTACTGTAATTTGAAATGGTTTTTGTTTAATATTTACAATTTTCTTATATCACAGCCACGATGTGTTCTTACAGCTGCTTTAAGATCTGGTCTGAAAAACTTTTTATCACGGTTCATTTAGAAACTTAGAACCTACGTAAGACGGCCTGGGTTCGAATTGTTTTAGAGAGTTGATAAGGTAAATAAGTACTGTCTATAGTTTACGCGAGTAGTACACATTTAAATCTCAATCATCATAAAACACTTTAACGGTTTAAAACGCGATATATTAGTTAAAATCATTTTCAAATAAGTTTAACTAATATATCGCGTTTTAATTAAACGAACACATTTTTGCGTTATTTTAGTTTACACCCCCTACAGTGTTTTCCCCAGTTGGGCACGTGATAAACACATTGACGTGAC